GATAGATTTAGGCAATAGGTTTATTAGAGTGAAAAGATGTTGATAAGGACGGGTAGTCAAATTTATGAAGATATATACTTATTTGTTGGAATTTTTATTTTGAGAAGTTTGATCTACAGACTATAAAATATCTTTGATGTATGGATGTAACTACGGTTAATAAAGCATAAAAGAAGAAGAAGAAAGAAACTGCATATAGTCTTAAGGTAGAATATGGAAGGAGGTGGGCATTCACATGGAACTCTACTAGGTATCATGCAGGCATCAGGTTGCACAAGAGCCTTCAGGGGAAAGAAGTATAACAATAGCTAACAGAGGCAAAATCTGAAGCTATTTACAGTTAAGGTATTCCAAGGTTTGGTTGTTACCTTAGTGGTACAAATTCTTCAGTATACAGTACTCCTTACTTTTAGGGAAAGCTCTAGGTGAAAGCTTTTAGCCTTCTGAGAACAGGGCTATTGTTCTCAGTCCTATAGACTGTAACTGCAGTCCTAGACTAATCCATATGTGATTGTGCAGTTCAGTATCTAAGTCATAGAGTAATAGCTGTATTATGTGGCTTAGTTGCATGCTAGGGCTTTATTTTGAAGGCAGTCCTTTTATCTCAGTTAATGATGTTAGGGGCCCCAGAGCAAGTTGTTTACTGTTCTATTAACTTCAACTTGTCCTAGCCTGTTTCCATTACGTCCCATTGGCTCTTTCAGTACCTGTACATGGATGTAGTCATCAAAATTTAGCAACATATCATTGAAGTGAATTAAGCAAGTTCATACACCTAAACCATTATGTATGACCACTTGTGAATTTATCTTACATTTTTGGTAGAGTATTTGAAGAGAAAAATGCACTACTTCACTGAACTGCATTTATGCTACTATGATTGTCATTCTAGCAAAATGATGTTTGCCTTACTCTCTTTTTTAAAGATGCCATTGCTACATTAATAAAATTCTAGCTCCTTTTATAAATGTGCTATCAGTTATAAACTGTTCTAAAGTTTCCTGGCCTTCTGTTCATCTGTACAGTATCCCAACTATTTTTCAGAGGCATTGAGACAGTTTAAAGTTTGTATTTCCATTATTGTGCAGAGGTTTCTAGATTAGTACTTCCACTAAAATATCACTTAACACATATGAAGCATACTGTGTTAACTACTTGGTTTTTAATGCAAGTGTTAATACTGTGAATCTTATGAGACAACAGTGTGAAACTGATGTTATATCTTCTTTACACTTACAAATTCGTAAGAATCGGCTCAATTATCTGATGCAACCCAAACTTAAAACATTCCAGATCAATGTCTCCTTTGGGGGGAAATGAACTGAACGTAAGATTTATACTCTTGCCCAACTTGCGGAACTGGATGGGGAATATTTGCTTTTATCGGAGTTACAAATATTGCCAGTGGACTGTAATTCACAGGCTGTATCTGTAACAGGGTTTGGGAATCTATGCCCCACCCCTGATGTTGCTGGGCTACAACTCCCATCTTTACTGGCCCTTGGCCATGCTGGCTAGGGCTAGTGGAAATTGGAGTCCAACAGTTCTAGAGAATCACAGGTTCCATGCCCCTGGTTTTACAATTATAAAACTCTTTAATATCAATCTATGCCTGTCACTACAGTGGTACCTCGGGTTAAGAACTTAATTCGTTCCAGAGGTCTGTTCTTAACCTGAAACGGTTCTTAACCTGAGGCGTGCTTTCGCTAATGGGGCCTCCTGCTACCGCTGCATCGCTGGCGCGCAATTTCCGTTCTCATCCTGGGGCAAACTTCTTAACCTGGAGCAACCACTTCCTGGTTAGCGGAGTTTGTAACCTGAAGCATTTGTAACCCAAGGTACCAATGTACTTAGTGTTTCAAAACACCCTAAATCTTGAAATACTTGCTCACCTTAGGACATGTTATTATATCCATGTTATTATATAATAAATGATTTCTTGGCAACATTAAACTTATTAGAGATAACTTGAAATTGGAGCACCTCGTATATAAACAGTGGAGTTCAGTCATACATTGTTTCACTTGACTAGAAATTAATTCAACAATAGTTATTGCTTTGAAGATATTGGACACTCATCTCTCACTTGTCCTAGGTGCTAGTGCTGTGGTATTGATTTTGTGTCACTGTCATTTATATTACGGGCATATCATTTGTGTCAGGAGTGAGGAATCTCCAGCCTTGGGCCACATTTGGCCCATCAGGCCTCCCCGTTTGTAAGGGAGGAGGTTTTCCAAAATCCACATCCACTTGTTGGCATATGTGGCATCAGGTGTGCAGCAGATAGAGTTGCAGCTGGTTGTACAGCAGATCACTGCAGAAAGCAGGATTAAACTCCCCAGGTGATATGTGGGGAGTGGAGTTCTGATCTGGCCCATTGGATCAAAAAGGTTCCCCATCTCTGCTTTAGGTAGAGGTCTGCCTGCATATTAAATTTGATTTAGCAGCATCGGTGTTGAGAATCCCACATACAGTGGTACCTTGTGTTACGTACTGCCCCCTTTACGAATGCTTCGGGTTACGCACTCCGCTAACCCGGAAGTAGATGCCCCTTGTTACGAACTTTGCCCCAGGGTGCGAGCAGAAGACGTGCTCCAGAGGGACAGCAGCAGCGGGAGGCGCCATTAGCAAAAGTGTGCCTCATGTTACGAGCGGTTTCCGGTTACAAACAGACCTCCGGAACAGATTTAGTATGTAACACAAGGTACCACTGTACTCATAAGCCAGTGGCTCTGAAAGGATGGCACTTGAAGATAGCAAGTATGGCAGAAATATTCAAGAAACATTTAAACATTTCCGTGTAGTATAATGTAGTATAGCTTACTATCAAAATAATATTTTACTTTGCAGAATATGGAAAAATATCAAGCAATGTTAGGTGTAACTTTTGTTTTCCAGTGTTTTTCTTATCAATAAAAAAATGGGGTGTGGTGCAAGCAATTTTTTATTCTGAAAGTGTGGTGCAGAGAAAAAGACAGTTGAGGACCACTGTCATAAACTATATTTCTGTACTTTAGGAACTGTGAGGCAGCCAGTGAAAATGAAGGGCTTGTTCCTGCAAGATTAGAAAGAAAATATCCCACTGTCACAGCTAACACAGCGGTTTGTCTTCACCCCTGGAGGTGCTTCAGACAGAAGGATACTTTATTTTTATATTGTATATATTGTAGACTACTTAGAGATTTTTTTAAAAGATGGAGTGGTTAGAAATGTTTTTTTAAATAAAATACATGTATCTGGAACTTTTACAGATGCTCTTTTTTGTAACTCCTGATCTGGATTTAACCTTAAACTGTGAACTAAATTTAGGAACTGGGCTTCATAGAACCATAATCAGGAAGACTAAATTAATCCTTTGTCCTGGGAAAAGCAAAAGGTTAATGGGCTAGCAAATGTAGACCAAATGATCTAATTTCTTATCTTATTAGAATAAATTAACTAGAGGGAAGCTTTTAGATTACTTGTAGAAAAATATCACAACTTTTAACACTTTAAAAAAAAAGGGTTACTGAACACCTAGCTAAAGCTTCAAGTGTGAAATTTCTGCAGTTTGTGCCTGTGCTTCATCTGACAACAACAAATTAAGTTGGCTTTGTCCCTGGGAGACCTCATATGGAGTTCATATCTCATGAGTGCTAAATCCATGAAGAAACGAAGTCCTACTGATGTCACTTTCTTTATACACAACTAAAAATTGTGTATACATTACATCAGAGCTTTCCAAACTTTTTGTGTTGGTGACACATTGCACAGTAATTCAGTTTTACTATCAAATTAAGGAGCATTTGTGCAGCGCACATACACACTGCAGCCGACTCACAAATGTGTCATGACACACAGTTTGGTAAGCCCTGCATCATATCATGTCTTAACATCAAACGTCTTAACACCAAACAAGTTGTTGTCTAGGTGCTTTTGCATGCAGACTCTTTCGAAAGTGGCTGCTCCAAATGTCAATGCACTAAGCAAGGCCCTCTGTTTCTTCTTAACTTGTTAAGTGTCACAAATGAAAATGACACAGGAGTCCCCACAGTCCTCTCTTTTAAGACCAAAGCAGGAAGAAGCTCTACAATATAAGCCAGAAATATCCAAAGAACAAGATATGAAGCTCAAAGTAATGTTGAAATGTGGGACCTGGCCTATTTCAGGCCCTGCTGCTCATAGTTTTGGATTTTCCAATTCCCAGTTGTGCAGTGACTCATGGCTGCTGCTCAACAATGGGAACAGCACCTCCTATGTGGTCCCAGTTGGCAAGATTGAGTCAGAGGATATACAGCATAGGATATACAGCAGTGCAAAAAGTAATCACCCAACCTTTTGTGTTTAACTCTTTGGATAGGAGGAACAGGAATATTAATGAGAATATAATATTGTGTACCACAAAGCAAACACTATTGATAATTGAGCAGCTTAATTCTTTAAAATAGAATAATAAAAATTAAGTTTTGGGGACTTTAAAAAAAAAAAGACTGTTGAACTACGGCTTCCTTTCTCTCTAGCCAGCATTCATTGCTGCTATTAGCTTAGAGTCAGAAACATTTTGTATCTCAAGGGTGAAAGGAAACTTGCTAGATTGTCCAAGTCCCAGTTGCTCTGAAGCAGCAGGTTTTGACATGCCATCCCTGTTCTTACTCTTCCTGTATGGTTGCTTCAGAGTAATCTGGAAGGTATTTCCTGGAGGACCTGCTTCTGGACATGTAGAAAGTAGATGAGGATTTTCAGAGGCATGTGATGGCCTTAACTGGAAAGCATGTAAAGGCTGTATACCCTTTTCAGATTGGAAATGACTGGACTGAGCTATATTTTGTTGGAAGGCTACGCTACTTGGCATTATGTGTTTCCACATGCTAGTCTTTTTAAACTTGTTTTCAAAGATTATCAAGGATAATACAATATATTGCTTCTGTACAGTGAAGGTTTTTTCCCCTCTTTAAACATGGTTTTGGCTTTGTAAACCCCAGTTCCAGAAATTAGCTGCAAATGTCCTCTTCTCTCGACAGGGTGAATCGGTGAAATATTTTCTGGATAATTTGGACCGGATTGGCCAATTGGTGAGATTTACTTTTTCTTTGCCCCATTCTGTCCTCCAGTACTTAATGCATTGTGCCTTTTTATGTTCTCTGTCTGATATGCTCAAACCATATGGCCTTGAAGAAAACCAAAAACTGTACAAATGCACAGTGTAGAAAATGCAGAACTAAATGGAGAATCACTGAGCAGAACTAAACCCTGCTTACTGTCTTCCTCAACCGCCCTTTAACTCAGTGGTTCCCAAATTCCCCCCACCCCAAGACAATTTGAAAATTGCAAGTGTTTGTGAACTACTTAATTATTTTTCTGCCTGTGGTAGCAAATTAATTCCATAGAATTCAAATAGTAATACAGTAAAATAAATAAAAATGCAATTAAAAATAATATGAATATTCAGTGCAATTGATGTGCCATCTCCCATTTCAACCACAAATCCAGATAACTGAATGAAGCTCGCCTAACACTGGTAAATTCACTGACCACAGTTTGGGAACAGTCACTATTTCCAGTTCTATCTACTCTGTGGTGAAAGGCAACTGTTCATAAGTGAATAAAGTTTACACCCCCCCCAAAAAAAAGAATACTGTACATAAAGTAGTTAGTACAATTCATATCCCATTTGGGAATTATGCAATTGCTTATATTCATATTCTGTCACACAAACAACCTTTTTTTCTTAATACTTTCAATATGAAGTATTAAGACAAAAAGGTTGTTTGTGTGACAGTATGTGAATATAGGCAACTGAATAATTCCCAAATGGGATATGAATTGTATGGAACTGTCAGCAAGTCAGACTTACATTAAAGTACACACAGCACTCTTAATGCACATGGGCACGAGGTGGATCCTTTGTCTGGCAAAATGTGACTCTAACAATTTCTTAGATAATAATGACCTCTGCAGTATCATTTCTTTTTCAGGGAAGAGAGATGCTTCCCTCTACCCACTGTTCATATCAGAGGTGCCAACTTGAATAAAATATTTGGGGCAGGTAAGCCCCGCTCTCCCTGATCAGTCACATGGTGCAGTGCAGGGGGGCCAACATGACCTTGGCCCCTAGGAATTGGCTCTATGTTTGAGACAGAGAGAGGTGGAACAAAGATAGGTCTGCATTGTTGCTCAATTTGTTGCAAAATTGTTAAACATACCACATCATTTTACTTTGGATGTAGTGGCAGTGAGACTTGGCCAGGGCCAGCAACAGTGAAACTTGCATGTTGTAGGCTGTCAGAAACCCCAGTTTTTATTGCATATGTTGTAAGGATGGTACACAGAATTTCAAAGGATACGTTCATGATACTGAGGAGTCTTGTAAACTATTCAGTTTGTTACTTCAAATTGAATTGGTTTACAGCCAGTTCATACAACCAACTAGACATAATGAAAATAGCTTAAATGGAGGTGAGCTGTTCATGTAGCAGAGTGGCCTTGTGATTCACTTACAGAACTTGACTCAACTCACATTTTCAGCTGAGCAGGTTGTTGAAGATTGATCTTTAGTTTCTTCTCTCCTTCCTTTACCCCTCTGGTCACTACCCTGACTCAGTGTATCTGTACCCTCTTTCAATGGAAGCAGCTGTTGATCCATTTTGATATTTTCCCTGCCTCCGTGTCTCTTTCTGCAGAACTATTTTCCCAGTAAGCAAGACATCTTGCTGGCTAGAAAAGCTACCAAGGGGATTGTGGAGCATGACTTTATCATCAAGAAGATTCCTTTCAAAATGGTCGATGTGGGTGGACAGCGGTCTCAACGCCAAAAATGGTTTCAGTGTTTTGATGGGATAACATCTATACTATTCATGGTCTCCTCAAGTGAATATGATCAGGTCCTTATGGAAGATAGACGCACAAATAGACTAGTTGAATCTATGAACATCTTTGAAACCATTGTCAACAACAAGCTCTTTTTTAATGTCTCCATCATTCTCTTCCTTAACAAAATGGACCTACTTGTGGAGAAAGTGAAGAATGTCAGCATTAAGAAGTACTTCTCAGACTTCAGGGGTGATCCTCACCGGCTGGAAGATGTTCAGCGTTACCTGGTACAATGTTTTGACAGAAAGCGGCGGAATCGCAGTAAACCCCTCTTCCATCATTTCACCACAGCCATAGACACTGAAAACATCCGCTTTGTGTTCCATGCTGTGAAGGATACAATCCTTCAGGAAAACCTTAAGGATATTATGTTGCAGTGAAGGAAAACTGAAGGAACTGTCTATTCAAACCTAGCCTAGTTGAAGGCCCAACCTTTATAGCCTATACGGTGGATTTTTAAAAAAAAAGATCCATGCTGTTACTTGGCTCAAGGAAGCTGCAAAATAGCCAGTCCCAATGGAGGAGCAGCAAGCAGAAGGACTGTGAGAGCTCAAGCTAGCTACTGTATCACTTAACTAAACAAACAAGCAAACAAAAAACTACTGAAAGTAGTAAATTGCAAGTGCAGTGCCTTCTTTTGAACTCTTAATAACATTATTGCCTTCTGCCTTTTGAAAAGATAATTCTAAGTTTGAAAAATGACGTAAAGACATTTGTGTTTTTTAATCCACTGTCATTGTGCAAGAGAGTTGGTTGTAAAGCCTGTCTGCCTCACTTGTTTTGGGTGCTGAATTAACAAATCCAGTAAGTTCATTGATACTTCTATTTGGAGAATACATTGCAATATGTTAATATCTAAGTTTGGTGTACGCAAAATTGTTTGCCAGTAACCAGACTGTGCTTGCCAAAATGATTATCCAGCTCTTCTTTGAGACTCTCTACAGTTTCCCTCTTGTCGAAGTTTACAACTGTAAATTGAACTTGGCTGGCCACACTAGTGAATTTCATTTTAGCAATTGGCCTGAAAGGGGGCAGAAATCCAAGACCTGGGTTGGTGCAACACAGGGCTGTACTTTGCACTACATGTTACAGTGTTTATTGCATCATGGAAAATAAGACTTTTATTTTCTTTTTATTTTACTTTTCATATAGCATGAGGCTGGAGCTCACACAGATGCTCTGCTGAGACATTAACTCTGTTCTCAAACCTATAGTTGGAACTATATGAAAACTTTCTCTTGACAGAATATTATGTATGAGACATATTATGGGCGTTCTCATAAAAGGGAAGCTAATGCTATTCCTTAGCCAAATGTTTGGTAAGCAGAGGCTGCTCATAGCACTAAAGCCAAATGCTCTTGAGGTTTCCACTTTACAGCTGCACTGAGTTTGGAAAGAAGAGCTCTGCTTTGAACTAATCCTTAATTGTTGCTGTATGAATTTACTAGGTTATATAATATACACTTAAAATATTGTAAACTGTCAAGTTCAAAGTTGCCCCTTTAAGGCTACTACAGAGTACATGTGAATTTGCAGGAGGCTGTGAATAATGTTGATGTGAACTTCCTTTTTAATTCTAAAGTGTTGAATTTAACTATGGGTGCCTATTTTGTGTGTACTGATGTTTCACACTCTGTCTGATATGAGGTATGTATTAACTACACTAAACCCTACATTTTCAGTGCTATAGACTTTATTCAGGGATCTTCTTAAACATAAGAAATGTTTACCATACTTTTGGTACCATACTTGTCATATCAAATTATAAAGGGCTTATTCTTTCCTGTATCATGATATCAGAATGCTGTAGCTTATGCCCCTCTGGGACAATCATGTCTTACACAGTAGGCAAAACTCCAGGTATAAATGCCACCAATAACAGCAAACTAAAACAAATCTCTCATGACTTCTGCTTGGACAAATTCCAGGGTATTTTTTTCCCCTCTGGGGATTACTCACATTTATATAAGCATGTTTTTGTGTGGTGTACCCTACTTTGAACCAGAAATTTTCCACTCTTATAGTGATGTTTGTGCAAAATCAAGCTAAGTTTTGGACATTAAGAAAGAGTTTGTCTCCTACTTTTTATCTAAAACTAAAATTTCAATAAGACAACAACCAAACCACATAGTGACTGCAGACATTTCAACCTTTTGAGATGAAATTACATTTGGAGACTTTCTAGTGACACTTGTCTTACTTTCTAGGACCAATTATTTTACTGTTTAAATATCTGCTTCTAGAAAAGAAAACAATATTGCAATTTTGCCATGAGTACGCTAAAGTGTTGAATAATTTTGCAGGCTATGAATGGGCTATTCAAGGGTTAAGGGGAATGCATCTCAGCTACGATTGCCGATTTCTATTCATTGGGTTTCTTCATTGATGTCTCTTTTGAAAATTTAAATTCCACATGCCTAAAAAGATGTTTGATTTGTGTTTCTCAAATAGCTATCTTGACATGAGAAGTTTCAAGAGCAGTTTGTGATGTGGAATATGCACCTGCTTTTAAAGGAGAAAATTCCCATTAGACATGTTCACAACCCGTGGCATTCATAAGTAGCTCTTATGTATTCTGGTCACAGTATTTTAATTTGCTTCCTCAGCAGTAATATACAGTCTAGAAGGAGCCTTGACTATTCAATTAAAAAATTGAACTTTATATATTTTCTACCCAAAAGTGCCTCGGTTTTACCTATTAACTTTTCTTTGCCCTTAAGTGGCAGGGAGTAGCACAAACCCATTTATAACAATCTGAACTATGCCACCACTTGCGTTTTAAAATAAAAACTTAGAAATAATATGCTGCAGTTCTCAAATTGTTCTTTTTCTTACAACTCTGCCTAGTCGTGTACTGTATTTCTTTTTTTGTATGGCTACCGTAGTATTTGCATGTAAAATGTATTATATTACTGTGTTCCTTTGGTATCAGATAGTTATCTTTTGGTATGATGGAAGCCCCTTGCTGGGGCAAACTTACCGTAAAGATTTTGGTAGCCAGATTAAGACTGCAATCCTAAACTATGTCTACCTAGCAGTAAACCCAATTGAATTCAGTGGGACTTGCTTCCCAGTAAATGGAGATTAGGATTGCAGTCAAAATCAAGTTCAACCTAATCCATTTTTCAGCCAATTTATTTTGCCATTTAAGATGCTGTTAGCTCTAGTCCTCCAGCTTCTCATCCCTTCAGCTGCACGCCTTGGTCATGATCACACACTGATATAATTCTTGTGATTAACATTGTAGTAGAAGCTTAGCATCTAACAGGCAGGATGTTTTAACAATTTCAGGATTACAGTGCAGCCTGGTTTAAATAACTAGTTGGAATCCTAAAACTATCTTTTAACAGTATAGCTTCACACAGATAAGGGAAACCTCTTTTCTAATCATAGCACTGCTCATATACTGTGTTTCAATAGTTCGCTTTGAATTCAAAATCTTTTTTTGCAATCCAGTACAGTAGTATTGGGTGCTCTGCAACCATTGAATTACCCGCTCTTTCTTCCTCTTGCCAAAGCCACAAGACATTTGCCTTTAATTGTAACCCTTGAGAACATTTTGTCCTAAGTACAATTAGCAGGGAGAGGAAAGATTTGTTGTTGGAATACTTGATGTGATGATACTTTTAAGCTGGGGAATGGGTTACACATCAGACAGTCTATTACAGGCCTTGAACTTATGCTTTGACATATTACATACCAAACAGGCTTCAGCTTCTCATTTGTCAGAGGACGTTTTGCTGTAAATAATGTATATTGTGCATTTGGTGTTTTTAGCCATGGACAAAGAGGATCACCCCCTCATGTCTTTAACAGGGTGTGTGTGCATATATATGTATTTACATGCATGTGCACACACAGGTGGAAGTAGACTTTCTGCTGAAAATCTGCTTGTTTTTATATAAACTCTCCAGGAGCAAGGACTTGCCGGGGGGGGTCATTTTTCATGAAATGGAAGCTGCAAGTTGGCATGAGTTCACAGTTCCTATGTTATACTATGCACACACTGCATATTCAAGTGGACTGTGCACATGAGCAGAATTTACCATGTTAGCATAACAGAATATTGTTGAAACTAACTTTTGAGTTTATCAACATAGTAGCTGTCTTATCCAAAATAAAGAGTAGCATTCTGCCATCCACAAAAATTTATAAGGGATGAACAGAGATTACCATGCTTGGCAAGTTTGAGGCCCATTAAAAAAGACTTTCTGTGGCCTCTGGGATAGTGACTAAAATACCGCCACTGCTGTGGATATGGTAGATGTTTCTACTTCTGCCACCAATTCATTTCACTAATTTAAAGAACCCTTATCAATGGGCCAGCGAATTACCTAGGATTTAGCAAACCTCCCATAGTTTTATACCGACCTTCGAGGGTTGGGGGGGTTTTGAGGAGCTCTTTTTTGATGGTTTTGTTGTTGTTGTTGGGAGGGAGAGATTTGGAAAAGGATCTAGTTTCTAGACTTTCAAACAGTGCTGCTTAAGCATTAACGGTGTGTGTATTGAAACAAAATGCATTGAAACAAAAGCCACCAATGAAGAGCCTGTATGCTTTCCCCCAGAATAAGGATTTGGCAGCATATTAAAACAACTTATTGGCACTACTGTAGCTATTGGCACACACATAAATCTTTTTTCCCCCTAGCCTGCCTGTTTGTTTATAACTGGGACATGCAAATTCAGGTTTCTTGCAGTGTGCTCTTGAGAGGCTTTGGCTATGCAGAAGGTCTGATAAATGTTCTAAAAGGCAAGCAAGTATCCTCTTCAAAACCAACAAAATCAAGCCTTTAGATTTGGGGCCCTCATACCTTAAAAGACTGTTCCTTATTTTACTCCATTGTGTACTTTCAGATCAACCAAGACTATTCTCATGATTTATGTGCCAAATTCAAACTGCAAAGACACACAGAATGGTATTTTCAGTGGTTGTTCCACAATGGTAAAATTCCATTCCCTTGTCAAAATACAACATGAATACTAGTGTTCGTACACTAGGTTAAAAAACAACAACACAGAAGCAACAGTATGACAAAACCCTTATTAGGACCAACCTAAACATTACAAAAACTACTTTCTAGAAGCACTGTAAGAGCTGGAACAGATGCATAGTTTGTACTACTGGGGATGTGGGCAGGGTAATCAAATGTTTGAATGATTTCCACATAAAAGTCTACCTGCACACACAAACCTAACATGCTGGAGAGGGGAGGAAGGCTGGTCCTGGCTTGCTTGATTACTACTTCCAGGATCTCTCATGTGGGCCCAAACATCGGTTCTACCAACCTGGATGATTTAGCCCAGCAACAACTACATCACATGGGAGTTCTTCCCCAGACTACCTCAAGAGTTCTCCAAAGATTTTCCTTAGCACACCTGGCCCATAGCATGTTATTGGGTTCTTATTGGTAGAGATTATACATAAGAGCAATACAGAGTGGCCATGCTGCAACTGATCTGCTTGGGGACAATTTCATCTGGTTCCTTTCCCTGGTTGGTGGCTGAAGAAAGCAGCATAAATCCAAGTTTGTGTTTGTTTTCTGTTCACTATCTTGGGGGCTTCAGGTCAAAAGTTGGGAGCAGAATAATTGAAAAAATTAAATAGGGAACTGACAAAAATGCTGCCTAGTGTTGACATTATACCTGAGAAGTGATTTCAGAAATGTCTTCCTTTTCAAGTGGTGCTTCATCTATATTCCACATATTTGCACGAGTAGGCTCGTTTTATACCAATATTGCAGACATAGTAGTGGTTTGCCTACAGCTACTAGTGAAGCACAACTGACATGATGAATGGTTGGTTTCTTGCTCACAATTGGCCACTGCACCATACCAGCTCTAGGGCAGTATTCCATGCTCAGTGGCGCATATAGAATATTGCCCTAGAGCTCGTATAGTGTAGTGAATCATCAGAAATTGAGTATTGTGGACAGAAAAGGCCTGTGCTTGCCTTAATCTTTAACTTGAGCAAAAAAAGCTTAATTATTCTTGAAAAGTGACAAATTTAAAAATAAGTTGTGATGAAAGTGCCATAATTCATACTGTTATATTTTTAATTGTGTGCTTTAAAACAACCCTGGTCTTTTGTAAGCACTAAAAGAGTATAATTCTTTGTGACCTATTTTGCTGTGATAGCAGCAGCTTATGAAAGCTGTGTATTAGATTTTTAAAATGTGGTGTAAAAATGTGTATTATAGCTTTGAATTAGCTTACTGTTTTGTATATATGAATTTTGTAAATCTATTAAAATGTGACTTGTTACTGTACTTTCTAGTGAAGTGTCTGTAAAATAATTTAAGTTCTGTTAGAGAACAGCGGTGGTCATGTACGCTATAATACGGGGTCAGCAAGCAGCAGTCCCTGAGCCGCATCTTACTTCCACAGAAACTGGCAGGCAACACTGCGTCTAAGACACCTCCTTTTTCCAGAAGCAAATGTGTGAGGCAGCCAAAAAATGAAGTGGGTTCAGGGAGAAAGAGGAAGGATGAGGCCATTTAGGCAATGGTTAAAGGAGGTTTGGCTTAGCTGGTTATTTTTGAGAAAGTAGAAGAGCTGGCCTGTTGCTACGGCTGTGTTACTGTTGGCTCCTTCATAAATCTAGTTGCTGCTTTAAAGAATTCCAGAAGAGCAACAGTTCATTACAGCAGTAACTTTCTGTATATGGCACCTCAAAGTTTAATACGTTGTGGTATGAGATTTTGTAGCAATAGTCTACTTCATCAGATGCAATAAATAGGCAGTGGGTTCTTCAAACTATATACAGGCGACTCTCAACGCTGGGATTACTTTCCAGGGATAGCGCATAAGGCCAAACTTGTGTATAGCCAAACATACTAGGTTCAATGGTGGGTGGGATTGGTTGGCATCCATCTGTCTTGGGAGACAATGGAAGTGTGCGCCTTCAGGGGGAAGTCAAAAAATTGGAGAGTTATAGTGCCTGCTGTGGCTGTAGAGAAAGATACGGGAGAGAGATGTTTTCTTGCATCTGGGGCAGATGAAGGCATCCAGTTGTGCTACTGCGGGTGTACCATGGTGTTTCTTCTTACTGCACTCTTCCCAGTGGTCATTCCCAGAGGGTGGGATTACCAAAGTCTCCTTTCCTAGATGTCCACCCCCTTTTCACCACCTTTAATAAAATTTAATGTTTGTTGCTAAGTGCATAAAGCTGAATGCACACAAGTTAAATGAGTGCAAGTTGTGAGTTACCTGTACACTTATTCGTCTTTCAGAGGCAAAATGTTTTCAAAGGGCATATTTTAAAAATGCAATGCAGAGATACTGTTGTATGTCATTGCTATTCAACAGGGGCTCCAGGAGCTCATTGAAGATGTGCTACAGCCATGGCACTTTCTCTTAAAAATAGAGAAGGTAAAAGACTTTAACACGTGCAGTAAATTGGGACTCCCTTTTGGGCTTGGTTTGGGGAGGCACATTTAGAAATCTAAAATGGTTGTGTGTACCACAAAATATCCATTGCACGTATGAAGAAGTTGTTGGTGCTCGTGGCCTCCACAAAAGACAAAGCACCACCCAAATACACAGAACCAGACAAAACACGCCCTAAAACAACAGCAACAACAAAGTTTAAGCACTTTTAAAAAATAGTGAGTGGACAGGGAACATCAGCAGATGCGAGGAGGGTAGCCAGAAGCCCTTCCTCTTTTCTCATTCCTCATTTCATGCTCTGCCATGGATTTAAGGCTGCAGTTGCACTTAGTTGATGGCACCTGTTAAGTCATTTCTCTTCTGCTGCACAGCATCCAATAATAGCAACATGACTTACATCTGCCTCCCTTTCCCTGATGGCAGTCATGGCTTTTCACTGTACACTGAACGGTTCTTCATACATTACTCCTTTCTCTGTTCATGACACTTTTGTGGAGGAAAATGTACAGAAATTGTAGAATCTTAAAGTTGGAAGGGACCCAAGAAAACTGAGCTAAAGCAGCTAAAAGCGTCTTCCAAATGAGTAGCTGGAATTTTCACAACATTACCTGTTGCACATCTTGGGGGGGAAATCACTTGATGGTGACATGAACACAGTAGTGCAGATTCCACCTTATTCTACCGCCTGAGTTTTCCCCACCGTGAACAAGCTATGCCATCCGATTGCAGGGTGAGTAGCTTCCTCGTGTACAGCTGAATGTATTCACTGGGATCCTAAAGGACTGGGAGACTTGAGAAACTTTCTACCTTGCCATCTCACTTTCTTTTTCAGTGTTAGCTCTGTGAGTAACCAGAACAAAGTTTGGCCAAGGCTAGGACTGATGCCGCCACATAGAGGATGTAGCACAACCTACTTAACCAAAGTGATGGGAGAGAAAGGGTGAGGAAGCCAGTCAATCCAGACCAGCAACATTGGAACAGGATTTCCAGGGTGCTTTAGGCCTCTATGAGCATTAAAACAAGGGTGGCTCTCCATATGTTACTGGGTTACAACTCTTCTTATCCCTGGCTATTGGGCATGCGGAGGAGAGTCTATTCTTTTGGGGAGATATTCTGCCTTTCTGATTCCAAAATATCAAGAAATAGGAAAATCAGATAATCCAGCAGCAATATACCAGGCAGAAGGCCTTCTCAGTAGTGGCGCCCACCCTGTGGAACGCCCTCCCATCAAATGTCAAAGAAATAAACAACTATCTGACGTTTAGAAGACATCTGAAGGCAGCCCTGTTTAGGGAAGTTTTTTAATGACTGATGTTTTAATGTATTTTTAATCTTTTGTTGGAAGCTGCCCAGAGTGGCTGGGGAAACCCAACCAGATGGACAGGGTATACATTATTATTATTATTATTATTATTATTATTATTATTATTATTAAGCCAGGGGAAATGAATAGGTCTAAAATGATGCCTAAGAACAGACAGTGTGGGGATCAGCTGGATCTTTAAGGACAGGGACTTACAGATCCAATGTGCCAGAAAAGAGAATCCCTGTCGTGCATTGTTGCACCATGAGTTGCAGATGTTGATAGAGCTGTGACCAGAGCCTCTCCTGCAGATCTTAAGGTGTGCAGGGTGGCAGGTAATGGGAGATACTTGAGACCTAGGCCAGGTAGAACTAGGAAAGCCAAATGTTAGTCACCCTGTATTAAGAGCAGGCCACTAAACTTTACTGCTGCAGCCATTACACCTCTTCTCGACTTTCGCTTGGCCCTTGTGCGCCAGCTGGTGGCACTTGGGTCAGATGTGGCTTCTAGTTGTCGTTCCATTTTAGACAATGAGCTGAAAAGCAGGAACAGAGCGATTTCTGCATCCCACTTGCTGAATGCTTCCTGTCGGCCTTCACACTCTCCATGTAGCTGTTTGAGAGCCTACAAATGGTTGCACAGAGTGGATTATTGTGAAGCACCTCATTTCCCAATGCTTGAAATTCTCAAAAGCCATCTGCAGCAGGGATGCCAGCAGAATGAGCTTTGCCTGGCAAGGACTGGATTGCTGCCACTGATGTATAACTCTTAGTTGTGTGGTTCTTGGATTCAAGGCTGCTGAGGGGCAAGTGGACCTTTTTCACTTTGAAGCCATTTACAAAGTGCCCCCCCGCCCCCGTGAGTGGGCTGTGACTCGGCAGCATTGCCATAATTCAGCAGGCAGGCTCCCAATTCAGGATGGAGGGGCCTCTTCCCTATTATGCTGAATAACAATAGACCCCTGTGTGTGCACAGCTTGTATTTCTAAGTGGCCCAACCAGTGAAACAACTGGAACTCTTTCCTGCTCCCAGCATGCAATGTGGCCTAGCATTTGGTATTCACCTCTTGCTTCCTTGCAGATGGACTCAGCTGTTTGAGTCAGGAACCTGAACTCTAAATAAATAAAAGAAAACTAACGCCAGAAAACCTTACCATGTCATCCAGAGGGTTCGTTCCCCCACCCCCACCCCCCCACACCCCTTCAGGTTCATGAGTTTAAAAGTTGTGACGTGCAGAGACTGCAGCCATATAGTTATCAAAGTGGCTGCAATGTTTGATCTGGGGTCCTCCCCAACTTACTTTGTAGTGCAAGGTCCCATGTTTGATTCCCAGGTAGGGCTGGGAGGGAATATTCCAAAGCTGGCAAGGTCAGGGTTGACAATTGTAGGAATGATCGCTGGGTGCAGAGCACACTCCCCCTCACAGATAAAGCCACAGCTGTCTGAACATCTCGCCCTCTGTCTAACCTTTTGCGGTCTCAGTAGTCTGCGGTGTCCTGTCTGTAACCTTTGTCTCTGAGACCTTTGTCTCCTTCGTCATAGAAGAGTTTGGATTTGATATCCTGTTTTATCACTACCCGAAGGAGTCTCAAAGCGGCTAACATTCTCCTTTCCCTTCCTCCCTCACAACAAACACTCTGTGAGGCGAGTGGAGCTGAGAGACTTCAAAGAAGTGTGACTAGCCCAAGGTCACCCAGCAGCTGCATGTGGAGGAGCGGAGACGCGAACCCGGTTCACCAGATTACGAGTCTACCGCTCTTAACCACTACACCACACTGGCTCTCAATACACTGTGCAAGGGGGAAATGACGCAGTGGAAACAGGTGCCAAAATAGCTTTGTACCACCCCACGATCTCAGGACTGGAAGATGTGTAAAGGTCGCAGCCCATAATGTATCTGCCTGGGTTTGCATTCTGTGTCAATAAAAGGAGCCTCCACAGAGCTGGCCAGCAGCTTGTTTGCAGCTCACCTGTGCGCAGCTCACCTGCGTTATCAACTCCTGCCCCATGTCCTTCACTTCAGACAATACTGAGTTGGATTAGGCCAATGTCTAAGTGTCAGGTCTCTTCCTATGTTCATAAACAAAAGTCATTGAGAACCTGAGACATCCGCTCTAACCAAGGGGACTGTCCCTGCCCCTTTACAACCCTCTGTTGGCTTGTAAAGACCCTTATTGTCTCTTCTTCCTAATTGCCATCCTAGTCTTCCTTCTGTGTTGCCCCTTTGACCTGATGGTGGGCTTTAGGCAAATTCATGGGGAATAAGGCTCTCAGTGGCTACATACTGATGGCTATGTACACACACACCCAGTGTTGGAAGCAGTAGGCCTCTAAATGCTAATTACTGGGAATCAGAAGTGGGGAACGCTGTCTCACTCCAGTCCTACTTGTGGCATCTGGTAGACCTCTGTGAGATGCTGGATGAGACAGGCCTCTGGTCTGAACCATCAGCCAGACTCTTCTTATGTCCTTATGGCTACAACAGGGTCATGTTCAGTGACTCTTCTCCTATCCATTATAAAGCTAACTGCTTTCTATTAGAAAGCTAACACCTAAGGGAGAAAAGGCCTTGTCCCG